TGTGGGTGAGCGAATGAAAGAGCAAGCGGTAGAAAGTAAGGTTGTATCTATGTTTTTAAGGGAAAAGCACACACAACAACACACACACACTGGGGGAAATATTAATAGGATTACAAAACAAAATAACCAACAAGGGAAAATTACGTTGGTTAGGGGTTCTGAATATCGTTTTGATTACTGTTTAACTGTTTTTTACTGATTAATCGTCCAGCCCTAGTTTCACTTACAAGTGAAAAAGACATGAATTCAAATTAAATGGTGCAAAAACATAAACAGCATGCATCAAGATATGACTACAATAAGAAGCCGACATGGAAAAGAGCATACAGTACTCGTGCTACAGTGGTGAGAAGCGAGACATTACCTAAGGTGCTGCTGAAGCTTCAATGAGCTGTGAACAATATAAACAACCAAGCCAATGATGATAAGCTTTAAAAGTTGAACTGAAATGTTTGTTATGTTTTATTAGACATGACTCACTTAAAGGAATAAAGCACTTAGCTTGCTTACCTGTTAAATGGGAATGTGTTAACAACTGCATGCCAATCAAGATAATTTCAAATTAATCCGATAAGTGATTTGTTACATGTGGGTCCTCTGTTGGAAAGTAAATTTTGTGATGGACTGTTTTTGACTTTTGCCATAGAAAAATCATAAAGAAAATAACCCAGATGAACGCTCCTGTTAGTTAATAATTTCTTTCATTAAAAGCGTTACCTTTCTTTCCAATTTTTCTAACTTTATGCTTACCTCTATGTCAATCTCCGGCTGTATGATCACCGGGCAGATGGCAGTAGGTCTGTCAAGTCCAGACCTGGAGGTCCCTGCTTCTTCTGCTGATGTAAAATAGACAATTATGCTGTGGGTGCCTAATTAGTCTGAATAGAGAAAAAGCAATAAACTTGTTTAATCAGCATATTTTATCAACAGTATAAGTAATAAAAGGGGCACTCCACCGATAAAAACATTTGTGTGATGTCTTCTTACACAAAAGACTCTGTCAATGCAATACCAGCATATATAAAATTATTCATTGTATTACTGTTTAATTACTTTTGTCTTCCAGTTAATTGATATGTCAATAGTGACAACAACATTCATAATGTACCTTCTACCAGTTCCTGGTCATCCTCTGAATCAAAAACATCATTCATACTGAAAGAAAGGAGAGACATTTGGGTTGTAAGATGTACAAAAATAAGACAAAACTGTTCACTGGTACACTCTTTAAAACACACAGCCAAATGTCTACATAACTTTACACATAGATGTAGTGCCTAGAAAACAACATCGTTTTAATTCAAACACAAGACCTGATAATAATTATACAAATGCACAGTGTATAGAGGCATCTTTATACAGTGTCATAGTGGTTGACATTGGGGTGGATGCAGTAGGTGAGACCTTTAAAATAAAAAGATATCCTCAGTTTGCAGCTCTGGATGGACAGCAAGACAAGAAAATGTCCATTTGTGTACATGACTTTATAGAAATACAGCATTGTTCCTGCTCTCGCCTCAGTATTCACTGCATTAATGTGTGATATCTATATTTACCTGAGGTGAATACACTTCAGTTAATGTATACTAAACCAGCGGTATGTGTAACCTACTGTACGCGTAATTGATGTTAACAAGTAATACATTCTAGCGTCTAGGCTTGTGCCATAGTAACCTTTCCTCCCACTGGCTGCCTTGTTAATGCGTTAAAATCCAATTATCAGTGAACTTCAAAGCACCTAATGAATCTATAATGGTTGCTATGGTAGGTCTGCCAGTACAGTTTCTGCTCCCTAAACTCCTCCTTTTCAATCAGTGACTCATCCATCCCTAACAACCCATCTGGCCCCTTCCTGCTTTCAAACAGCTACAGCAGAGAAGACCTACATGAAAACTACATCAGTTTACACCCTGTCTGCTCCTTTTATGGGTCCTTGTAAGCTTGGGGGATCTTTTCTTGTGTCTCCATCACTGTGAGATTCATCACGCACTTTCACATTGATCTAACAATACACCAGGCATTGAAATTGTCCTCTCAGGGATTAGTTGACTTTATGGAGTAAAAAAGGAAGAGAAGGGGTCTGTCGGTCAGTCTCTGATTACACAAGGGAAAGAGGCCAATCTGTTCCACTGAAATTGCTCTCCCCCCCCCCCCGATGACTCGGATAGAAAAGGTCAGAGGTAAATTTATTGCAGGGAAACGTCAGGCCTGAAAACGACACCTGCCCTTTGCCTATTTAGATTGCCCTCACACACCACTGGAGGATTGGCATTCTGGTGAGGGGTGGGGGGCTGGCGGGTGGTGGTAGCCTACTCCCTCGAAAACTCTTTCTATTTTTCCCTGCAGAGTGAAGTTAAGACACCAGAGTAGTGTAACGAGTCAAATCAGTCATAAGCATGTATGAACACTACACTGGATAACTTTGATACTTTGCTCTTATTATGCAACAGACTGCGTAACTGTGTTTATTAAAATCCTGCTTAGTTCCTACTATGCTGAACGTAGTCTTTCCAGGCAAAACTACTGAACTACTGGTGCTGAACACCCATTGCACAAAACCTCAAAGGGAATTAGAAGGCAATTGGTGCTCTGCAGCTGTTGCACAATCCCAAAGCTTTTATGACTTTGTTTACATCTATCTCTTTATGAATTGATGGCTAAAATAGAACCTACGCCAAAGTTAGGCAATTCATTGGTTACATGGGTCAAAGTTTTATCATTCAGAAATGATTATGCCTTTGAGCATCTTCATTTTCCCTTTGATTAGAAGGTTGCATCTTTGACACACCTTAAAGCAGACTGAGGTTTTACCTATAATGAACAGTGTGCAAGCGGATCAATCTGTGGAGGTCAAAGGGCAAAGGAATATTGGACAGACAGTAGCCAAAATATCGCACAATTGGTCTGTTACATTTGTATCCCTTGATCTGTGTCTGACAAATGAAAGCACACATGACAGGGGATTTACCTGTAAGCTTTTGGAGGCTTCAGGATACCTCTTTTTTGTTGCATGTCGAGGTTTGTCTGAGCTGAATCATCTTCACAGGACAGGTGCAGAGTTACCACATAATTCATAGAGGAGTTATTAGCCCAGTAATCCCCATCAGAGGTTTCATAGCGAACAACAAACTCAATGCGAGAGCCATGTGTGATATAAGGTGGTGCAAAAGACAGCTTGAAGGAGAACTGATCTGTGTCCCCATCATGGGATCCCTGGACATACTCTGCTGGTTGATCATAGTAAGTAGCCCAGTTGTCCATGGTCGATCTGATATAAACTGCTTTGTGGAAGGAGATGTTCAGGACTCGTATTACCCCACTGAATGCAAATGGCTCATTCTCTACTGGAGACATCTGCTCAACCTCCACTTTATGAGTGTGCACAGCCTGCAGCAGGGCACTCTCTGTGGGCACGTTAAACTCTGGGTGCACCTGATAGGTCGGTTCTCGCTTTCGATACTTTGCCTCCTCTTCTTCCCACCTTGCACTATCCCCTTCCTCGTCCGAATCAAAAGCAACAAATTCCTTCACATCCACCAGATCCCCACCTGTTGTATCGGCGAACGACACTCTCTTTATGTTAGACAGCGCCAAGTGGATCCGCAAATACTCAGCAGTCTCATCGTAGATGGACGGGCCTCGCTTTCTGGGCACCGGGGAGCATCTTGGGATGAGGCGGACGTTCTCGGTGTCATCGTCTTCATCATCATCATCATCATTATCATTATTATTATTATTATCCTCATCGTCTATAGGGGACCTACTTTCTGCTGCTTCGCCTGACTTGCCAGCTTTAATCGTGGTAAAAAGCCCCTCTTGACTTGGTATGGTTAAAAAAGACATTGTTGCCGAAGTGTACACTCATGGAAGCTGTTCGCTGAACAGAGTACATATGGCGTCTCCAAAAAACACTACCAAATAGCCTGTGATTTGCGCAGCAGTGGCCAGTGTAGATCCAGCGCGTGCACTGTTCCTGCGTTACGCACAGAGCCTCTTCGGCGCGGCGTTAAATGTCACCCATGGAAAACGTGACTTTACTGCCAGCACTTGTGATTGTGTATCCCCTGGTTTACATGGCTTTATGCATCGCAATTTGGCTGCTGTCGCGGAAGGAGCAGCCTCTAATTTTAGCACTGACCTACTCGCCATGCCCCAAATGTGTTGGTCTAAGTTGGTATAATCCTGCGACTCCCCCTTGCTCCGTTTGGTTCGGGCTGGCTAAACGCCCACAACTGGACATGAGGTAGCTATTAAAGTAATAAGATATCAGCCAATTCTTACGAAGGTATGACACATTTTAAACCTATCTATGGGCACAGACATCTTCAGTTGGAAATTAGCCTATTGCAGGATGGAGTCTATTGCATCACCATGACAGTCATGATTGAAAGTCTATAAAACGAAAATTGTTAACATGCAGATCGTTACTTTACTTGCTATTTAATATATAGGCTAATATATTACAACACGCAAATCACTGTTCAACCATGTAAAGCACTTTGTTGCACAAATTTGTGGTGAAACGTGCTGTATAAATGCTGTTTATTCATTTATTATCATTATGATTATATGAGGCCATAGTTGTGTGCGTCCGTTTTTTTTCTTGATATAAACCATCACACAGACAACCATTTATGCCTATCGAATGGGTCGTCCATCGAATTCATGCACATAGTCTACAAACCCAAGTCCTTGTTGACACTTTCCTTGACATTTGAGGACATGAACCATATGTGAGATTATTTACAAATTTCCGACATTTTCTTATTGCATGTACAACGGATACACCCACAGATAATAAGTTGTGAAATTTAATTTACAGTATGTTCTATACTGTCGGTTAAACGTATAGAGGACATTTTACATTAATTGACGACAACAGTCATCAGCTGCCGCCTGGCTGCACCGCTCGCTGCGCAGTTATACCACTGTTACAGAGAGATTAACATGTGAACACGCCCTTGTACATGATTGGTGGAGAGGTTTTAGCGCGGCGTGCCGTAGCCAATCACAGGATTGTTTTTCTGTCATGTCGGTGCACGGATAGTAAGCTAACGGATAATGCAAACATAAACTCATATAAAGAACGCGAATTGTTACTAAAGGCGGCACAGCACGAAACGGTTTGATAATTTGGACCGAACCTTCCTTGGTGGACTTTTATTCGTGAAAATGTGGAGCGGGCGTCACTGCGAGCACATACGAATTGGGTAACGTGAGCTAACTAACGTTAGCAACAACCTGCTAATTTTTAACGTTCCGCAAGGCCGCGGAGAAATACAAGAGCTGCTTCCTGTTGTAGCTTCAGTGAGAATGTAGGTTACATGACGATCAGAGTAACAAAATCACAGCTGGTATCTAAGTAGCTAGTTTAGTGGTTTGATTGCATTTAAGTTTCCTTTAGTTGAGCTTGCAGGCTACCTAGCTTGTTAGCTATTTGGCTAGCTAGCTAGCATGAGCGAACTGACGGACTGCAAACAGTCCGCTGACTCTGCATCGAGGAAACGGTGTCCATCACCCGACGACGATGAAGGCAGCACGATTCCCTGCAAGTCCACAAAAGTAAGTGACGCATCAAATGAAGCGGGGGTTACTTCGGAAAGTTTCAAAAACAGTGAAGCCGAGAGTAAAGAAATTGCTCGGAGCGAGGGGCAGTCTAAAGATGGTGAGAAAGAACAAGCTGCCGTGAGATCAGATCAGGGTTCAGACCGCACAGATGGCACCAGTGTACTGCCTGTTAACAGCTCCAATACTGGCGGTCATGATGCCAGCAACATCGAAAAACCACAGTCCTCAGATGCACGCGGATCTGCTGACAAAAAGAACAACACGGAGAATACTGTAGGAACAAAGCAGCGTCCCGCAAGTCCTCTGGACCAGTCCGACTCAGCAGCAATAGCAGCTGCTGAAGCACTTGCCAGTCTCACAGGACGAGACGGGGAAGACAGTCAAGAGACTCCTTGCTCATCTGAAAAGGCGAAACCGGTGAAACAGGGTAACAAATTCAAGCAACGTGGGGGCCACCAGTCCTCAAGAGCAGGCTCTAAAACGCAGGCAGCTGCTGCAGATAGCTCCACATCTGTGCATAGTACTGACAGAGAAGATGCAGATGATGTGCCACAAGCAGATGAAGGCGATGAATCCATGTCCGGATCTTCCTCCACTCCTAGCTCCTCATTCCCATCAGACAACGAGGACAATGATGACGGGGAGTGTGCCATTGTATCGGTTAAGATGGCCCCAGAGATGAGACAGTCGGTGGCTCTCCTGGCGCAGGTACAGATGCGACTGGAAGCCCTTGAGAAGAAAAGTGCCCGGCTTCACCAGCGGCTGGAGCTGAAGATTAGTCGTCAGCGGCGCCCACATTTGGATCAGCGCAGCTCCATCACAAAAACTATACCTGGCTTCTGGGTGACAGCTGTATCCTTTTAAATGTAAAACTTTACCTCTTTTTCCATTCATATGTTGTGTTTGAGTAATTGAAATCAACAGATTGTGAGTTGTTTCTTAACTTAGATGTGCCAGCTGCTGAACCATCCTCATCTCTCAGCTCACATTGACGAGAATGATGAAGATGCTCTTAGTTACATGACTGATCTTGAGGTAGGAAAAGTTGGTGTGTTCTTTGAGTTTGACCATTGTATATATGCTAGTAGCAACAGTCAGACACTGCCTCATGTCTTTTTCAGATCGAGTCCTTCAAGAACAATAAACTGGGCTACAGGATCCGCTTCCACTTCAGACGGAACCCGTACTTCCAGAACAACATCATCATGAAGGAGCTGCACCTCGGGATGGGAGGTAAAAATTAATATGTGGTGACTAAGTTGTCAGAAATGAATGTAAAAGACTTTGCATCATGGCACTATAAATATAATTTACATTGTAGATCCAGGTGATAATATATATAGGTACATAATAAAATATTGTTGTTTTCTATGTACATTTTGTTTTTCATTTGGTACAAGAAACTGGCAAACCCATCTAAAATATTACATTTCAACCAGGGTACATTCTGTCATATTTTGGAATAAAAAACAAGTAGCAACACATTCATTGCATCACAGTGGCAACAAACATTTCACTCATTTATTTTGAGTGGTTAAAAAAAAAAGAGTTTGAGGCTAACTAATCTCTACATGGCCATGAAAATTCTGGATCACCATCTGCTCATGTTTCAGGATCTCCCATGTCATTCTCCAACCCCATTCTGTGGCATCGTGGACAGAACCTGACTACCCACAGTGAACCCAGAAAGTCGTCACGTGGGGTCTACCAGACCTTTTTCAGCTGGTTCAGTGACCATAGCAACCCAGGACAAGATGATGTTGCACAGGTACAGCTGAGTTGAGCATGGCAATAACACTGCCACCTTTTTAGAGATTTGATTTGTTAACGGGGGTTGACTCAAGTGACATGTAATCAGACCTGCCAACCTGCATCTGTTTTTCAATGTTATTATGACATCTTTGAAATCAGTATGTGCCGGAAGAGGGCTCAAGTCTGAATGGTTTAGGGGGGGGGGGGTGTCAACTTGCCTGTTTATGATAAACGTGTGGTAGTGAAATTACCTCTGTGCTGGTTTTTAGATACTTAAGGACGACCTATACAGAGACCCTCTGAGATACTACCTCACTCCGCTCTGGGAACCGAGGGAGAACGGCAGGTAAAACATATGTGTAATAAAGCCACAGACACATAGTGTAATGTGTCTTCAGTGGACAAAGCACTTATTAAGCTATAAATTCTACAAATATTCTCAGCCCCAGGGTGTTGAAATTACAGGTCATGTGTAAACTTTTAACAGTTTCCTGAGAGACAGAGATTCTTTCTTTATTTTTTTTCTTTTCTTCCTGCCGGTAAGACCAGGTGGGATGCATACCAAATCAATGAGTCTGTGTACTGTTAACACGTGTGTGTGTGTGTGTGTGTTTATCCTCCAGCAGTGGCAGCGGGGCACGAGCAGCTGACAACGGTAATGGCGATGACTGTGTGGTGATCTCGGACTCAGATGATGAGCCTGGCGAGGAAGCTGGTGAGCCTGAACAAGGCCACAGTAAGGAAGAGGAGGAGGAAGAGGAGGAGGGGGAGGAAGAGGAGGAGGGGGAGGAGGAGAGGGGGCAAAGCGCTGGTAAGTACTACAGTAGAACTTTTAAAGACAGCTGAAACCCTTCTGGTCCACACAGCAGGTTGGAGTACAGTGACCAGTTATTTATAAGCAATGATGCAGAAACATCTTTTCACATTAAATTTGATGTTTTATCGATATATTTGTATTTTTAAGGTTATTTTAGTATATTTTCAGAATTTATGTCAGCAGATAGCTGATTCTGTTTTTGAAATCCGCATTGTTTGCTGTTGCTCATGTTGTGAATGAGAGGCCAAGGGCTTGTTAGCATCACATTGACTGGCTTGTGTTGTAGCTTAAATATAAATGTCTGGGTAATGCAGGCTAAACTGAATAGACAGGAAATATCTCCTCCTCAGATGAGAGCCCAGAGGAGGAGGAGGATGGTGGAGAAATTGTGATTGACGGTAAGACTTCACTCTTAACTGCAGCGTTGCAAGTTCACCGCTATCTGGGGTGGCAGTTCATCTTACTTTTCATATTTTCTACTTTTTGATTATATTGCTTTTTATTTTACAGTGTGACTGAGCTTTGCATTAACTCTAAGGGGTTTGGTGTGCAGTTACAATCATATTTCTTATCAGCAAGGATCCCCTGAATCTATAACCATTTTACTTTTGTACTATAGGCTCTGATGACAGTGAGCAGGAAGAGGAGGAGGCTTGAAAAGAAGTAAAGAAGAATGTCGATGAAGAGTCCAAGTCATCAAGGGACCAGTGACCAGGAAGATGAAGAGGATGCCTAGTTTGGCTGAGAGTACCAGAGCAATTTATTGTCATTTTTATGCACAGAATCAGTTTTTGTTGTTTTATACCTAAAATACATAACAACATTTTAAATCAGGGTTAACTATGATAATGAAGCCAAGGCAGCATGTTTTCCCCTCTATTTTATACAGTCGGTACTGTGTATTCTGATGTACTCTGATTCACTTTTTGCAAAATGTTTTTTTCTAAACAGGTGCCAGTCGGTTCATACAAGTAGTGTTCTTCTCTTTAACGAGGAGTGTCGTACGGCAGCCTACACACATGCCGGTGTGATTTTGATTACCGCTACTTGTTGGCATAAAATTTTGCATTGCAAATTCTTCAAATTGATAATGCAGAAACTGTCAGTGGCATTATTAGTGGTCATTTCAAGGCAAAGTTTTGGCTGTTTTTAGAATTGACGTGACGAGAGAAACCTGTCACTAAATTGATATAATGACAGTACATTTCAGATGCACTGAGTACTGAACCAAAATTTGTTCTCAGGGATGATCATGGTGGTAGTTTTATTGAAAGAACCTTACTGATTTTCAGACATTTACACTCTGGTTATTGTGGCTATAAGGAAACATGAACTCTACTGTAGTAAATAGGAGCAAAAATATTGTTTTAATATGCTACCTGTGTTTTTCCTTCTTCATCTATGTGTTCAGTCTTGTTACACGCCAACGTCCATCTTTTAACACCATATAAACAATCTGTTTAAAATCATTGCGTAGTTTGACCAATGTTTCTGTGGGTTCCTACATTTTTCTAACACGCTCCTACAATAAGTAGCTGAATTTTGTATTTTTCTTTTCTTTAGATTTTAACTTAATTTAAATTTGCTTTCTAAAACATTTTAAGATTTGTTTTTGTGTAATGTGTCTTAAGATTTTGTGTTATCTTCTTTTTAAAAAGATGGTATTTATTACATTGTTTTTCTACACGTCCACATTATGGCATGCCCGTGAGCATGAAGTGTAAGGCGGGATGATTACATTACATTACATGGCTTTTTCTGTGCACAGTGTCGGTAAATGTTAAGTTCACAGTAACATAATGGGGTGCACTGTAACAAAACTAGTATTTGTATTTGCTTACTTTTCTTAGCAATGACCTGTAAATAATAATTCAGCGTTGTCTTTTGGATGAGACAAGTACACATGTTTAATCCATGGATACATTTATCAAATAATCTGGAGTTTTTTCATAAACATGATCAGAAAGTTATATTTTGTGTGCTGTGTTTTATAGAACACTGTAGTTTAAAGATACCAACCTACTTGTTGCTTTGGTAAATTATGTTTGCTTAAAAATAAATGTCCACCTTTTGACTTCGACCTAATAAAATAGGCAGATGTTTCACCTTGCTGTCTGTTGTGCTTAACATATGCAGTAACTTTGTACAACAAAAGCAAATATTTCTGCACAATAAGCTTGTTCACACTGAACTGGAATATGCGTATCACAACCACAAGATGGCAGTGTAGTTCAGATTATTGTCAAATGTCTTGTTAGGCTGCAGGTGTTCATTTTAGTTATGGGTGATTGCAGTATATCAGATAGTACTTAATGCCTGTATTTAAGCTTTCAGATGTGCATAAATGAGAAGTACTTAAATATTTCCTGTACTAAACCATTTCAAATCCTCAGAACTCCTAATAACAAAGTATAAATGTGTGACGTATTGCCATAAAAGTCACGTCTCTGGTATGCTTGGCCGGATCATGTTCTTCTTGAAGAGAAGAATCAAACAAAACCCGCTCAGATAAAGCTGTTCTCTGATGTATTGCACATCTGATATGACAGCAGCTTGTGATATCTGACATTTTGAATGTAGCACTGCAAATAGCCCTGGGCAAGACATTTTTGGACAGGCCCAGACAAAGGAACAGCAGCGGTTTTGCAATGGTACACTTAAACCCTTGATTCCACTTTTAATGCACAGCTATAAATATTCCACCAGCAAAAACCTGTCCTGCTGTAGCCCAGCAGCGCCCAGGGTATGCAGTCTAGGATGGGCATATACTATTAATACTGATGATGGAAACGTGTTATACCCCATGAAATGATCCCACGTGAAACACTCTTTGTCTCCTCTGTGAAGCAGCTTTATTCAGCCCCCCTTGAAGCACAACATGTTTTTATCACTATGAATTAATAATGGGGTTGGTTCCTACAATATTGATCATGACAAACTACATACAGATTGCTGGGACAACAAAGCCATGCTCAGGCAGCTTTGTGGTCTGAGGTTTGTCTGGGAAGCCTTTGTTATGTATGGGGTGGCATAAGCCTAAATGGATTCCCCAGTGTAAACTACACTCCCCTTGGTTGAGCCGGTGTTGCTACTGTACACAAATCATTTTGTTGTGCTGCTTCATGCTCTCACGTTTCGTGCATGTAGTTCCTCGGAATCTGCTACTCACAACTGATTCCCTGTAGACTGAAAAATGAAAAGATAAAACACAGCGGCTTATTCTTCATCTGTCTGATTGATGTTGGCAAGGAAATTTTCTCCTGTAAAGTGTGCAAGAAAGGGGCTTGTGCTGCTCTCTGAGGCACGTCTATAGTGGGTAATCTGATAGGTTGAAGTAGGGGCCCTGAATACCAACTACCTTTGTGTGTGTGTGTGTGTGTGTGTGTGTGTGTGTTTCTGCACGTCAACATACTTGTACGTTTGCTTGTGAAAGCTTGCATTCTTTTATGCACCTCCTTGCATGCATGCTTATTTGCAGAAGCTGCATGTCACACACACACATTTGCATCTTTTCAACGGCACGGTACATGTATGCGTGATTGTCTACTTGTCCGCTGATCAAGATTAAGCACAGAACTGTGCAAAGGGGAGAACAGAGAGGGATGAGAAAAGAGAATAGAGTGAGTATGATTGAGGGAAATGGATGAGTGCAGCGATAAGCGGAGCTGCCTGGGCCCTGACAGATACACACAGCAGATGGATGACTCTTATCTTGGAGATCACAGAGTGCATACTCACGCCTGGGCCCAGTTACAGAGAGCCACAATCACACCAGACAGATGAATAGGCCTACCCCCCACCAGTCGCATTGCACATACAGTACACACACACACATAAATGCAAGCGCACACCTACACATACAACCACTTGACAGAATGAACAGATTGCAGCACTTGCTTTACCTTCATGTCTTTCACATTGAAATTCACCTGGAGTCTGGTGTCTCAAGGATGTGTGTAAAGGGAGGAGAAAGGAAGGGTGTGGAGAGAGATAAGAGAAATCGTTTTAATTTTAAATGAAGGACCAGATCAAGTGCATTTGTGTGTGCGAGTGTGTGCATCCCCTATCTGCATGCACACACTTTATACATGTATGTTTGCGTGCAAATTTGCAAAGAGAGTCCCGTGCACTTTACTCTCCCTTTTTTATCAGCATGACAGATTTTTTTTTAGCTGATTCTCTGAGCACAAACAATGTCTGTCATGGAGTTTAAGATGGAGCTGAAGTCACACGTACTCAAAACAAAAAACATTTTGGACAGTTTTGGAACTGGGACATTTAACCATTAACTGGCTATTACCAGAGGCATTTGCATGAGTGCTGACAGATTTACCTTTAAAGACACAAGCGCTGTACTTTCACTCATCCTCACTATCCTCCTTTTCATGTACAGTAACCCTCCCTCCCTTCCTAACACACACCCCTTGTTATTTGGAAAGAGCTCTTCTTTGACAGCTGTTGATTCTCCCAGCTGCATTTTATAGCGAGGGAGAGTGCCAGTCTTGTCTTTAAGGCAGATGGTGGCTGGCTGGCTGGCCCGGTGGACACGTGGCATATTGGATGACTGCAGACAGGGCTGCATCTCGGGGAAGCTAGCTACAGAACGGTTTTCTCTAAAAATAAAAAATAAAAAAACAGCAATCACCTCACTTCCAATATCGTGTGTGGTGAGCAGGCTGCGACTGGAATGTGCGCCACGTATGCGCGCATTCATGTCAAATATGTTTTCCAAAGTAGCTCTTCTTTGATAATCACTGGTGTGTGAAGTTCGTGGATGTCACACAGCACCTGTTCCCTTCGTGCTTATCTTGCATTTTGATGTTTGCATTTTTTCCTGACCTGTAAGATAATAATTTGAAGACTTGTACAGCCATGTGAGGAGAGGTGTGGTTGGAAACAGAGCAAAATAATCCTGGTGAATATTGTACCTTTATTTTCTTTAACCTATAATTTCCTCCCAGGGTCATGGTCTATCACAGCATGCACTGGTGACGCCCTGCACTTGCCTCTCTGTAGCAGGCAAGTTGAAACACTCTCTCTATTCATCAATATACTGTTGGAAAGACCATAGGTCAAATAATGGGCTGTTTTTCCTCGAGGGGACAATACTCTCATGATTGATGTGTCTGAGGGTCCTGGATTCATCTGGAGCCTTTGGTTGGCCTACAGGGATAAATGTATCCCTCACATTTCACATTACCTATCCATTAGATGAGAAGATCCTCCTGACAGAGCTTTTTAGATCTGAAAAACAGACTCAGTGTTTGATATTTAATCCTCGCTGTCTGTCTTCATGCTACAAAATCCATCCATTATTCTGGAAGGGAAAGGCCTGTTCGGCCACTATTTCCTGCTCTCTGTACTGACGTACACAGAGCAAAACTACTGATTCCACTGGTGAGTGAAGAGCTGTTGCTATCTCTTAAGCAAGTTGAGGCAGTATAGCGGGCGCATGCTAGTTAGATAAGACCACAGGATGGCATGGTAAGAGATATGTATGAAGATAAGTGGTGCTTAAGAAGCGGTGGGAGTTGGTCAGTGTACCGGTGTCCATGGCCAAAGTTGAGAGCGCACGGAAACCTGAACTCAGCACACAGTCATGACTCATTTCCTTAGCTGGAAACAGAGTGATGCCTCCTGTGTGTGTGGAGGGGGGACGGACAAAGACTCCCTCCTGGACACATCTTGACACACCACTGCCTGTATATCACATCTGGCTGAACCCCAGCTTGCGATAAGGAGTGTACATACTCAGTCTGTGTGATGATGAATCAAACCCCGGAATTGCATTAAAGATACATTCAAAAAGTTAGAATTTAATCTTTCTGAGGCTTGCCAGGAACTGCCCTCCTCTGTGACCTTTTACACACTGACACACCACATTGCCTCATGTGTTTATTCTTCTTTACTGTCTTGCAGGGCTGTAGCTCAGAAAACACTCACTCCATGCTTTTGTGTCTTCAGTGCTCCGTACTGCGTCAGAGCTCACCGCAAAGCCAGTAATGATGAGAGGCGCTGTTTTAATTTCAAGCTCAAGAGCTCTGTTAACAGGATGGATGTCCTTTACGTCCAGCCTCCCCCCCTTCTGGTTGCTTTGTCACTGTTGTCATGAGCACTGGAGCCAGCCAGAGAGGAATCCCAGGAATCTTTTTTCGGCTGACCTGGCTCTGATAGAGCGGAGGAGTAATGGCAACATTGTCCAAGTGGCAGCCATGGGTCCTCTTTAATAGGGAATTTCAGCTCCTGCATCATGTATAAGAAGGCCCTGGTGCATAAGAAAAACATTTATATAAAACAGTGGCTGTATGCCCATCACCATTTAAGTGAATTATTCAGCTTAGACAAACTCTGCCAAACAGAGAACTCTTGAACTGACATTAATAACAGTTTACAGTAGAGTGAAACTCACCAGCAGTGACAGGGTTAAACATACCCATATGGTGTACCAAGAGGTTTGGTCCAATGCTGCTGTGGGCCAACAGGAGAGGGAAGGCTGGGTGGGGGCAGAACAGAAGGGAGAGGACAGCAGGGCGGACACTCTTCCCAACACCTGCACCTGGTCACTTGATTCACACTCAAACTCCCTTTAAAGGACTGTCCAACGTCCTGTCCAGATCACGGTTATGGTTGCTGCCATCCAGGCTTAAACTTTTTTTTGGAAAGAGTGGAACAAACGTTCAGGGATCAGCTTTTTTTTCTTTTTTAATGTTTCATGGAAGAATTGCAGTCGGTTAACAGCGACTGATTAGACTGCGTTTTTTCCTCTCTCCCTCTCTCAAGGGGAATTTGCAAACCTATCGGATTGTTTTATGCCTGCACAGCGCTGCTGAGGGAGATTTTCCAATCCAGCTCCGAAGCACAAAACGCGGGGAATGCAGCGGTAACATCTCGCAAGTTTTGGATCTGAGAGGCGTACCGGGTACCGAGAAAGTCAAAAATCAAAGGTAGGACATTTAACTTCTCTCTGGTTTAACTTTTAACTCATGCTTGGTTACTCTGTAGCGGAGTCTAAACGGTAGGTGACTGAAGTACACACATTTGTTCGGCTCCTATTTCTGGATGTTGAGTTCACAGGTAAGTGCGCACTCCGCGGGAAAAATAGAAC